CTCCCGGAAGCCGTCTGTGGGACCAGCCTTTGGCGCCGGGGATCAGGCTACACAGACTCGCCGCGGGATGCAAACGGATGGCTCGGGCCTGGGCTAGATGTGTATCGGGGTGTGGGCCCGGAGGCCGCGGGCTCCTTCCCGACCAGCCCCCGCGGCTGTCTGACAACCTGTCGACACGGGTTTACAGCTGTCTGACACCGGGTTTGCAGTTTCGCGGTCGAGGTGTGTCCCCTTTTTAACAAAAACAATTCGGCGTCTGCTTTTCTACCGTCTGGGCATCGGGGAAGGGGCCGGCGGCCTGGGCGCGGGTGACAGCGGGCAGGGAGCGGCCTCTCCCCCGAGTCCCGCGCGTCCGGTGCCTCCAGGGAACATCTTTGGCAGAAGTGCACCCGGACACTCTCCGCGAGCCGCTGAACCGGCGTGGCGTGACACCCCCGACTCCGGATGCGGGTTCCCTTGGGCCCCTACTAGGTAGTAACCGATCGTCTGCCAATGACCGGCCTCGCCGCCCTCGGGGAAGTGGGGAGCGGCCGAGCTCTGAGGGCTCTCAATTGTGCAAACTTTGAGCAAGGGCAAACCCCGCGGAGAAGTCGCTAGCTCAGGGGAAGCAGGCGCAGTCGGCGCGGGTTCTCGGAGGGAGGGGTGGGGGAGATGCGAGGGGAGGGGCTTTTTCTTCACCCAGAAACCCCCCTGGCAGCCGGAAGGAAGCATCCCCCGCGCCCCAGCGAAGGGGGAAGGCGGCGTGGCCTGGATGCCGTGTTTGTGGTGTGCAGAGGCAGACGGGAAACGTGTGGAACGCACGAACCCGAGTCGGCGCCGCCGCCAGACCGGGAACTGAGCGGCCTCTTGGGTCCAACCCCGCGTCCCTCTTCTCCCGGCGTCTCCCCTCTCCATCCTCAGCCTCGCGGGGCGACAGGACGCGGCCAGGCGCGGCGCACTTGAGAGGGGCTCCGTGTCGCCGCGGGCCTGGCGGTGCCACCGCTCCAGGGAGAAGATGCCAAGTGCACCGGCCTCCTCGCCTCCCTGAGCCTGGGACGGCCCTGGCTGGCCACTTCTGCGCCTCCTGGCTGGAGAGGTCCGGACGGTGCCGTGGGGAACCGGGTACCAGCCCCGGCTCCCGGGGCCACTTTGCGAACCACCTCCTACTCAGAGCCGGGGCCGGGAGTTCACCCCGCTGCCGCTCTCCAGCACACGGGACCCCGCGGGAATTTCAGCAGCGCACTCTGGCGTCTTCCCCGCTTTAGGCCGGGTTGGGGCTATGGGATGAAGGCGGCCATCGGGCCAGAGTCGGCATGCTGTTCTGCTGTTGGGCTGAGCCACCCGTATCCTGGACACCGGCCTGGCGGTCCCTTGACCCCCTGCCTCGCTTCCCTTTCTTCACCGAGCCTGGAGGCCCAGGGACTTCAGCAGCATCAGGAGGCCTCCAGTTTTCTGGGCCTGAGGACAGACAGTGAGACATCGCCTATAATTAGCAACAATAATGCCCATGATAGTAGTAATTACTAATAACCAGCTCTGACATCGGGCTTGATTTCCCTGCTCTGAGTCAGATTGTTTCCTAGTCATGCTGATTCCCCCGCTCAATTCGCCCCTGCAAACTCCGGAATCCGCCTACAACCTCTATGGTTCCTTTCCTGCTTTTACAGATTCCAGGCGGGGTTTGTGGGGACGCGGAGGGTCGGTGCGGAGTGGATTCTTGGTGACACAACTCCGGGAAGCCCCTAACTGCAGCTTTTTCCTGTTCCCTAGCCCACCTCCAGACACCTTCTAACCCTAAGACAGATTTCTGATTTTCAACCTCCTCTCCTCTATACCCAAAACAAATCCATCCATTGCATGTGACTCACTGTGTGAGAAGTGGGCCAGCCCCACCCACCCCGTCCTGTTCAGCAAACTTGTGTCGCATTTCAGGGTGACAGGGGAGATACACCCTCTTGTGTGACCTGGAAAATGAGGTGCGATGTAAGTCCAGAGACACTTCTCAGCCCTGGGATTCATCTACAGCTTGTCTGCCTCCTTCCAACACACAAAGCACCACCGCCTACCCCACCCGCAAGCCTCAGGTCTCTGTGCAGCTGGCAGAGCTTTGTGGGGAGGCGGGAATAGGGGAGTGGAGGCTTCATGCTGACTCTCAACCAGCCCACTCCTCTGTGCGCTGGCTGCATCACCTCCATGGGCGATCACAAAATGACCGCAGGTTCCTGAAAACACCAGGGAGCTGGGTGGGGAGGCCGCTGCTGGGCCCCACCTGGAGGCTCCCCTGCCCTGTTAATCCTGCCTGAGGACTGCACAGTTCCTGGGGAAGTGGCACTAGCAAAGCTGGGTAACTTGCTCCCCCCGAGCCCTGCAAAGGTGCAGAAGGGGAGATTGTGGTCCATTCTCTGCCCAAGGCCAGGGCCTGTGGCTGCACTCCAGGCCCCTGGGCCTAAAACCAATTCTAGGAAGTCCTTTCTAGGAAGTTCTAGCAAAGCCTGGCAGGCCCAAACTCACCTCCTCCCTTCTTTCTCCTTGGCCCTTGGCCCAAAAACTTTCACCTAGGATACTAGGAGGCAGGGTAGACTGAGAGAAAGAGAGAGAGAGAATTGCCACCAAAGCCTCCCATCAGAGAGGGGGAGAGGCGGAGAAGGAGCTAGAATCTCCTGGCTCAGCCTCTCCTGGGAGAGTTTCTTCCCACTCGTTCTGCCACTCTTTTTCAGAAGCAAATGTTTCAGTGGGGCTCAGGGCTCCAGGGCCTCAGATGCTGGAGCAGGCAGAAGGGCTGGGCGTCTGGAACCCATGGGCCTGATTTGAACGCCCTTTTAAAAATGGCCTGAGAAAGTCTGAACTTTCCCTCAAAGAGACTGCCCCTGCCCCCACCCGGACGCAGCATCACTGGCATCTAGGACCATCCCTCTGGTGGCCATAGGTGTGCCAGGTGAAGGGGATGGACGTTGGAATGGGAGGTTGTGTGGCTCCCTCTGCTAGGTCTTGGAAACCGACACCCCGACTGTGAGGCACTAGATCTCTGAACTAGGAGAGAACCACTTTGTTGGCCCCTCAGCCACTTTTCCTGCCTCCAAAGGGGGTGGCTGAGGCAGGCCCTGCCGCTGCTCCAGAGGTTGCTCCTGGCTAAGCTGGCTGCACCCGGTGGCTGCCCCCGTAGTCACTGTCCCAGAGACAAAGACGAGGAGCCTGACAAAACCAGGTCTAGGGGTCGCTGCGCAGCGGAATCGGAGCTCCTCCTGCTTAGCGCCGGGGATCCAGTCCGGAAGCCCTTGGGCCCCGGTGCTCCGGGGACCCAGGGCATGTGGCCCAGGAGGCTGGCATGATCCCGCGAAGCTCCGCGATGGGGGGTGACTGGGACCCCCCCGCTGGGAAACCAGGACCTTCAGCGCGTCCAGGACTTGGACAGACGCAGGCCTCTGGGTGCAGCGGCGTGTGCAGAGTGCGCGAGTGTCTCGGGGAGCGCAGGGGGCAGGCTGCAGGGGTGGGGGTTGGGCGGGGAGGAGAGGAAAGGCTGGAGGCGGTAGGGGAGGGAGATGGGCGTTGGTGTACAACTGCAGTTTAAGCTAACTAGATTTTTAAGCTGGTGTCAAGGCTTGATGGAAAGTTTACTTGCAAGGTGCTGCTGTTGTTATCATTATTATTATTATGAGTCAGTTTTCTAAGTGGGAGGGATTTGTTATTCCTGAAGAAGATCGTTTCCCTATTCTCTCTCCCAACCCTCAGTGAGGATTCCACCCGCCCTGCCTCACCCTCCTGGGGCATATTTACATCAGGACAAGATTAAACACACCCAACAGCTTCCTCGTTTACAATTTTGTTTCTTGGGAAACAGTTTGCTGGTCTTGAAGCTCTGCAATCCGGGGGTCGCTAAGGAAGAGGAGGATGCTCCTGGGGACGCATCACTCCCGGAAGCCGTCTGTGGGACCAGCCTTTTCGCCGGGGATCAGGCTACACAGACTCGCCGCGGGATGCAAACGGATGGCTCGGGCCTGGGCTCCTGCCTTCACTCTGGCCACTGTCTGCTCCAGATGGCAGGACTCTGCGCTGGGCCGCGGCTCAGTGGTGGCGACGGAGGCGGCCTGACCTGGCGCTGCAGCGCGGACCCCAGTCTGGCGCTGCGCCCCGACTCTTAAAAACGCACTAGGACTTCGCACCGTCCCTCAGCAACAGCTGGGAGGCCACCCAGGTCGGCAACATTGAAGCAATAGTCAGACAATCCCCAGCGGCTGAGACTCCCGGTGGGTCCGGCCGCTGCGACTCGACGATTCCCTAGGCTCCGACCCCGTGTGCAATCTGCGCTCTCCTGCCACGCCGGGCAGGGACTGGTGGCCCCTGGGGTCCAAGAATAGTCTACAGTGAGCGCCCCGAGGGCGCAGAGCTGCGGGGACGCGGTGGCGAGCTGAGCTGAGTTGGGCAGGCGGGAGGAGGAAACCCCAGAAGGAAACGCCCAGAAGCGAAGGACGCAGGACGGTCTCACGCTGAGGGGAGTACCCCCCACGGCAGGCATCGCGGAGCCAGTTCCTCAGCAGCGTGGGGACCGCACCAGAGAACGCGGCAGGCGGACCAAATGCGACCCTGGCCCTAAAGCTGCGGCACTGGGCCTGAATTTCCCACAAACGCAGGGCAGAGGAATGGACCGCAGTGGCCCGGCCTGGAGTGCCGCTCCGACGCGGTCCCCAGTGTCGAAGGAAGTGAATTACATGCGTGTGCACACACGTAAATATTTTATAAACCTCGCCTTAATTAACCAGATCATTTCCATTATGCCTCCAATATGAACAACAGCAACGGTGTGAGAGTTCTCAAGGCTTCTAATTTGATGTCACCAGACGGTTGCTCGGGGGCAGAGGCACCATCGCCGTGCCAGCTGCACTTGTATTTATTTGTTTTTCTGCCTTGTTCCTGTAGGGCTCCATTATGCAGTTTTTAATTAGTTTGTGTTTGTATTTCACCCGTCCCAAATCAATGCCATCCCGAAGCAAGGCGATGTAAATGCTCTCAGTACAGGTGTAGCTGCCTGCGCGGGTACACCGGCAAACGCGTGTCTGACAAATGAAAGCGGGGCCGCTGCGCAGCCGACTGTCAGCTCTCGGCAGCGGAGAGGCGCGGATCAAAGCCAGCGGGGACTTCTGCGCCCCCGTGAGCGCCGTCGTGGCTGCGGCTCCTAATGTCATTAGAGGAGACCGGGCTGAGCACGGTGTGGGGAACAAAGTGACTTTTCATTTTGTTCAGGTCCTCTGGTCTTTGGGCCAGCTCTGGCCTCGGAATCGCCTCCCGCTTGGGGCCTATTGGATGCAGCTGAAACCGCCCTGGCTCCCGCCAGGATCCCTGGCTGTGCGCACCCGCGGTGACCCAGCGCCCTGGGATCACTGTGGCTTCTCTCCTTGTCCCTCTAACCTTAACCCGCAGCCTTAAGCTGAACCTGCTCTGGAATCTCTAGACAGGAGACATCCCCTCTCCGCGTTATGTTTGCATCTCCGCCTTCTTGAAATGACCTCTGTGGAGTGCGTGTATATCTATTCTTCCAGCCATGGGGAATTCTTCTAAAGCTTTCTTTTTTTGTCAGGAACAAGAGATTGTTCATCTTTAACTAGGCCACATGGAAATTATGATTCAACAGCAGTGTATATTTAATTAGAGTAATCTCACTTGAATTTAATTACCTAATGAATTATTTGTTTAAAAGGTAGAACGTCTTGTTTGCCAAGTGCAGTGCAGACCTCCGATAAGAACTTCTGTTAGGAGGACGTTACAGTTTAAAAGCAGGCATGCGTAAGGGTTCTATTTTAACTCTTTGAGTATGTGACTGTTACTGTACTCTCCAACAAAAACTGAGACGCTGGTTAGAGTCTGGTGGGTAGAGTCCAGAGGGCAGTGGGCATGACCCTGGCCACACAGAGGTGCACTCTTGTTAGGTACACGTGTGTGCCCAAGTCGCTTTGGAAATTAATATCCTTTGACTAAAATGGGAGTGGAGTTTATCTTAAAACTTATTTCATGTTGCTTTCAGTGCCATTTTTCCCTCCTGGTGCAAGTCAGGACAGTTCTCTGCTAGTGAACTCATTTTCTAAAAGTGTTTAAAACAAAATAATGCATCCTTCAGAAGACTCCAGTCAAGTCACCAAGTCCCAGGCGCTCCTTGGGTCTCTCCCATCGGAACTCCTCTTAATCCCTGAGGCTTTCAGACTACCAACAAGAAGTCTGTCAGGGAGTTGTTGTTTTGTATTTGTTGTTTGTTGTTTTTTTCTTTTAACTTACAGCAATGAAAGGTACCACATCCCAGACTCTGACTTAAACTCTTAATTCTTAAACTGTTGGGCAACCTCATTTCCTCTTGGTTACCAAAAGCAAGAGAACAAAAGCAAGAACAACTAACTCTAAGCCATGACAACTTTGAGAGGCTCCAAAGGCAATTTGTCTCCACATAGTGCCAACAGTTGGTGCATCTAATGCAACTTTAAGAATTTTCTATCACTACTGCATGATGAAATGCCAGCAGGGAAATTTACACATGGGTTTATGGAGGGGGCAGAGAGCAGTTCACCTCTTCCTGAAAAGGAGATAGGAAATAAGAAGAACTCAAATCAACTTGGTTGAATTCCACTGTCATTCTCATTAATATTTCAATAATCAAACAATTTAATGGTAAGCTCATGAACTATTGACACATAAATATCAAATATTATTAGTATAGTGTTCAGTCAAAGAGGAAGGGGTTTAGAAAATGCAACCAGTTGATAAAACTGATTGAACTTTTATTTCTTTTTAGAATACTTGACTTTTATCATAGCTGTGCATTTGAAATTGATGTTTTAACAACCAATAGTGGTTAAAATATACTATCCACTTAATTATATTCAATTATGGTTAAAGTAGCATCTCTCATTCAAAAAACCAGATCTACATGGTTGCATACTTAAAGCTTATTTATGAATTTACTTCACACATTCTTCCCAATAACAACAGACAGTAACAACGAGAGAGGAAGTAAGATACTAGCTTAGGAAGGATAATACATTTCCTAAATTTGAGCAAATCCAGAGAAGACTTCAGGGTAAAACCCTCAAAGGAATTTATATGTGTGTGATGGAAGAAGGGGAAAATACTAAATGGTGTATTTGTGTTTGACGTTTCCAAAAATATTTAAAATTTAGACCAGAGTTCTCTCTCCAATGACTTCATATCAGCC